CCCTAAACCTCCTAGCCCTACACAACCCTAAACCGCCGAACCCCTAACCTCTAAACCGCCTCAACCCCCTGAACCCTTAACCCTGTACAGCCCACCTTGTTTGTGAGGACCGGAGAAGAAGGGTGACTACTACTACTACAACAACAACAACTACTACTACTACTACTACTACTACTACTACTAGTACTATTACACTACTACTACGACGACTACTACTACTACCACTACTACCTCGTAGGTAAAATAGAAAGCTTTCTCTGTGACAATCGGCCCGTTGCCTGTGGATAGGACCTGGGGAACGATTTAGGGTTTAGGGTTTAAGGGTAGAGCTAAACTTTAAAGTTGAAAGGGTAGTCGGCTAAGTAAACCCGAAACCCTAGCACACCTCAGCCCCAATGCTTTAAAGCCTTACAACCCTCGAGCCCTAACGCCTAAACTCTGGCCACGAAGGCCAAAGCACTACTGCGGCCCACTGGCACTATCCAAGTTCGAGGCATGTGGTTGGCGTGCTTACTTCATCCTAAGTATTGGATTTCAGGGTGCAAAAGTGCTTTAATAATTAGGGTTTGCGAGACTCCCTTGCAGCTTTCGGGTTTGTGATTCGGGGTTTCGGGTTTACGATAATACTTTCCTTTCATGGCCATGATAGGCAATGACATACTTAATTTGCCTTCATCAGCAAACCCCTTTGAATGGTTCATTTCGAAGTGAAGGACGTAATGAATTTATGAGTAGGCTGTCAGGTACCATAACCATTCCAAGTGCACATTTCCCAGCCTCAATAAATTCCTTGCAACTTGAATCCTCTATGGTCCCACGGACTATTGATGTTTGCTGCGGTTGTGGGTTTAAACCGACCCATCGGCAATAGAACTCCATTACCCCACCAGGTTGAGGTCCTGAGAGTCGAGGTTTAATGGCTTCACAGTTTCTGGCGGTACCTTCTCAATCAAATGTGGACAGTGCACACAGAGTTTCGGTTTCGGGTTCGGCCTTTCCGGCTTCCTGTGCAACTCTCACCCTACAGCTCAACTTCAAGACTGCCAGACTCATCAGCTTGAACAGTAAGTAATCCACAACAAATGTCAGGCCGGAAAACCTCTACTGCTACTACGACTATTACCACTACCACTGCATTTGTTGCTACTAGTAGTGCTAGTACTAGTACTTCCACTCGCAGCACTTCTTCTCCTACCACCGCGACCACGACCACAATTACTACAACTGCAACTACTACTGCTACTGCTGCTGCTACCACTCCTACTACTACTAATGGTACTGATACTAGTGATACAGACCTGATACTACTACTACTACTACTACTACTACTACTACTACTACTACTGCTACTACTACTGCTACGACTACTGCTACGACTTACTACGACAGCGGCTACTAGTACTATTTCTGCTACTACTACTACTACTACTACTAGTACTTTCTACGACAGCTACTACTACTACTACTACTACTACTACTACTACTACTACTACTACTACTACTACTACTCTTACTACTACTACTAGTACTACTACTACTACTACTACTACTACTACTACTACTACTACTACTACTACTACTACTACTACTACTACCACTGCCACTACGACTTACTACGACACCTACTACTACTAGTACTAGTACTAGTACTACTACTACTACTACTACTACTACTAGTGCTACTACTACTACTACGACTACTACTACTACTACTACTACTACTACTACTACTACTACTACTACTACTACTACTACTACTAGTGCTACTACCACTACGACTTACTACGACAGCTACTACGACAGCTACTACTACTACTACTAATACTACTAATACTACTACTACTACTACTACTACTACTACTACTACTACTACTACTACTACTACTACTACTACTACTACTCCTACTACTACTTTTATTACTACTACTACCACTACTACTTCTGCTAGTACTACTACTGCTGTTGCTACTAGGTACCGTCTTTGATTCTACTCGTTACCCAGTCTTCTTACTATAATTGGAAATGCTCTCCCTAATACTACCTAAGATTTATATGCCTGCAGCGATGCCAGCTGACGCAGCGTCGGGAGTACTCCACTGGGTGATGCAAAACAATGTCCGACATTCGATGCGTGCGTGGCTGTGTAATCTGAAGACAAAGACCAGGACATCGGCATGGCATGCGGCACTTGCCTAATCATGCTTCATTTCCCTGAACACCCAGAGCCTAATTATTTCAATTAATTAACCCTGCTCGCGTCACATGCCGCCCATAGCAAACATGCCCAGTGATTCTGGCCTTTTACACGACATTTGGCCCGCCTGCGTCCGAGCTATTGTTGGGTCGCCTGCGGCGTTTGGTACATTTCGCTCCATGTGTTGTCCTGCGGCTTCTTGCACAGAGGCGCTTCGCCGAACAGATTCCTGCTGCCAGGTGGGGCCAGGTGGCTCTTAATAGATATTAGATTACGGATCAGGCAGCCCCAGTAGGATTTCTAGTTCATCCCGTCACCGCACCCGCACAGTTTCTTAAGACATGCCCGAGTACCCGACAAGTTTGATTTTTGGGTGACCACTCTCTAATGCATGCGAAATAGATCCGTAGACCTTGAAGCAGCTTCGTCGCCCACATTATTAAGGTTCGGGGTTTGGGGTTTAGCTTTACCTACTTAAACCTCAGGCCTTAAAGCTTCAACGGTTTCTAGTTAAGCCGCAAGCCGGATGTTGTCTTTCTCTCAGGTTCAGTTCTAGTAAGTAGCAGTAGTATTCGAAGAAGCATTTCCCGTCCGAGTTAGTAATCCGAGTACCAGTGCTAGTAGAAGAGGAAGAAGTAGTAGTAGTAGTAGTAGTAGTAGTAGTAGTAGTAGTAGTAGTAGTGGTAGTAGTGGCAGTACTAGTACTAGTAAGTAGTAGTAGTGTCAGACTGGTGCCAGCAAATTCGTCTTTGGTGGCTTGGCCCCAGAACATGTGTCGGGCGCCATTGCGACGCTTCCAAGCGTGCCTCGACGTCTCCGTCATCAAGCGGGTCTCCACTCGGACAGGTGACATCACAATGAATGTCCTGCGGTTGAAGGACTCTCGAGTCTCGAGCCCTGAACTTCTGAAGCACTTTGTCGCATATTGGAGAAGCCTGGCAACACAGAAGCGGCTCGCTCCACTCCAGAAGCAGACGGCTCCAGAAGACGAGTGCACACAAGGCTCTTCTGACTGCTCGAGCCTCTGTCCGTTAGGTCATCACTCAGCACAGATCCGGCGCACTCAAGACTTTGCATGAGGCCTGCCGGCACAAGGACAAGGACATCGACACCGACTGACAAGGACATCGAGACCGACGCTCTGTCTCTCTCTCTCTCTCTCTCTCTCTCTCTCTCCCTCTCTCTCTCAAATAATCAAGCTAAGCCCCAAACCCCAAAAGTTTCCTTGTTCTTTTCAGAACAAGGAAGCTGCATGAGCCTGTTGGGGCCCCAACAGGAGGTTCTTTCTGGCTCTGTCCCGCCGTGGCAGGAGATACAGCAGCCAGAAAGCCCTCCGACCCCAGAGCCCTTTCGGTTTCGGACCCTAGACCCTAAAATCCTAACCCTGACATGGAATTCCGAAAGCACAACCCTGAAGCTCTAATTTGACTTAACCTCATGACTGCTAACTTTCCAACCCCTTGATGAGTTAGACTTCTCCAAATCTGAGCGCCGAAACCCGACCCCGGACATTTGACCCTAAACGTGTGCCTGAACCCTAGGCCCTAAGCCCCGTGGGCCTGAACCCTAGGCCTTAAGCCCTCCACTCTGAAATACTCGCCCTACAACTATTACATAACACTTAAGCCCAAACCCTGAAACGAAGACCAGGCCTGAAGGGAGTTGACCCCTGAATGAACCTAAACCCTAGACTTAAACCCGGAGCCCTCTAATCAATAAACACAACGTCCAGGAATGATTGCATGTTATTCAATGTGTTAACTTGGTGCAATTTTTGGGAGGCATCAAACTGCGGTGTGCGATCTTCGCAGATTAATGAAATAATTATCAAACCTGACATCCATTTTTGACTCAGAGGCCCGTAGTTTCCCTTTGCCACCATATTCCATTCTCCCTTGTATCGCCCGAGTGTCATTTTCTGCTGTCAGGGCTTCTGCGACTACATGATGGGCAACATCTTCTTGCTCGAGCCCACGAACATCGCTCGTTCCCCCTCGCCCGAGTCGCCACGAACCCCCCTCGAACCCCCCAACCCTTCGTCGAAGTTCGTCGCACCTGCGGGGGGGTTCGCCGAAGTTCGCCCCAGCTGGGTGGCGCCCCCCCAGAGTAGCGCCTACAGATAGTTAGCCTACATTATTGGTCCAAAACCTAACTGGGAAGTAAGGATCTAAGTGCCCCCAAAAGGCTCCTGTTGGGTCTGCTAGTGCATGTCTGAAAACGGCTCTCTAAACTTCAGTAGGGCTTAGATCCCCAATAGCCAACCTTTAACCTGTTTGGGTTCCCGTAGTTTAGTAGGAATCGGAAAGTTGAATCTTTTGTTTCTATGGCTTATTGGGGGAATCAGAGGGTGGGGTTGTGGTCTTACCATTTCTCTGATGCTTAAGGTCCCTATACAGTTCGTCTTCAGACCTCCATCTTGCAGAGCTTTCATGGTTTGCCGTTCCTAGGATGTCGTGGCCCAGTCTGATGCACATCCTTCTGTCGAAACGCCAGTCTAAAGAAGAACCTTGGGGTTTCTAGAGGGTAAGGCTTAAGGTTTAGGGTTTTCCAGGGTTTAACTGCCAAGGTGCCCTCAACAGGGCAGCATGGTTCTGGATCGCGGATATGTAGTCTGTAACAGAGGATATGTCACGTCTTGAGGTAGCCAAGTACGCCCCTCTCTTAATATATGGGAACCTGATTAAGAAACGGTGTAGCTGTATTAGGGTTGCTTGTATGAGCCCTACTTTTTTGGTGTTAGAGGGCCAGGGTTTCGTAATCAGGTTCCTACATTACCCAACCCTCGGACAGCTCCTGCTGGTCTGAGTCCACAACGCCGATGACTTCTCGCCTGGAGTGTGGCTTCAGGAGCCAGGGACACCAGACCAAGCTTGCTTAAAGGATTAGGAGAAAGAGTAAGCAGGTCAAGAGTAGAGATGTAGGCAGACTATGTGGGCTACCTATACATAGCTCTAGCTATCACCTACTTAGTAGCTCCTTCTTTGAACTTTGGTGCACAGAGGAAGCCCACAGTAATGCCAGCCTTGGTAGCCTTGCAGACTTTGTTGCCGACCTGATGAGACCAACGTCTGAGGGGTTTGGCGGTTTGGAGTCTCGCATTCCAGGACCCCCCCCCCAAGTGCCCTTTAAGAGAGTCCTTATGGCTTGGCGGGTCTAGGAAGGTCTAGAGGTTTTCGGGTTTGCGGTTTAAGGGTTTCGAGCTTCGAAGTTTCCAGCAGGGTTCCGGAGCTAGGGGGCTTGGAGTTTAGGATTCTTGGCTCTCCGAAAATTCGTCTTTTCATTCCATAACTTGAAGAAAATAATTACCCTAAACCCTAAACCGTCTAGGATGCCCAGTAGTACCCTTATTCCCTTTTTGTAGTCCTAGGTTCCTTATTAAGTTACCCAATGCCAAAAAGAGAGGCCTTTTTATTCTTAGGTTACTGGGTATCCTAGCCGTTGCAGCAAAGCCACAATCTCCGAGCAGCGGCAGGACTTAATCCTGGAAGAAGTTCAGTGCGGCGAGACGCCGGCCACCTGTTTGCATTTGGGCCTGTGGGCACTGGGTGTTTGAGGTTTTGGGTTTAGTCCCAGTACCTAAGTATCATATGGGTGGTTGTCAAAGTTAGGGTCCCTTTTTGGATACCCTAAATATTAGGTTGCGTACTAAATATTAATGACCCCAAAAGGGACCCTAATTTTGACAACCCCCCATAGACTCTCCAAAATAGTAACCTACGTAACTAGTATCCTGAGCACAAGTACCTAATTATTGGTTCCTTTAAGATCCTTAGGTAAACCCAAACCCCTAGACTCACTAAAGTGGAGAAAGGAGTTCACAAGGCGGGATGAGGCGCAGCAGCCTGGCCTAGAACGTGTTGCAGGGACGCTGCAGCAAGTGCAAGGTGTCGCTGGATCAGGAGACACGTGGCCGCCGGTAATACGGAAGCCGGAAAAATCTACTACCAATGACGACGGGGTGGAGGCATTCCATGACTCATCCTTCGGAACATCGATAATTTCACAGAATGCTGCGGGATTCTTCAGTGCTCATGGCCAACGTGGTGAGGGGACTGGGGCCAACTCGTAAATCCTAAGCGCATGGACTCTTGTAACCTATGTAGTCCCCAAAGCCTTGAGGTAAACCTGTACATGGATGAGGCAACGCCAGTGAGATCCAAGGAGAGTTCAGAAAGCTTTGAATGACACCTATACCTATCATCAACCTAAACCCGAAACAATATTAAACCGTAAACTATAAACCCTAGAACCTAAACCTTAATTCTGGAAGAAAGGGTGCGTCATCATAGTGTAAAGACCCTGATCCTGAAACCAATTAAACCCTAAAGCCTGTATTACTGAGGGTTTCGATCCCACCTGTGGCCCCAGAACCTACAAATTAGTAGGTTATGACCCCTTAATTATAGTGTCTAACCCTAAACCCTAAACCCCTAAACCCTAAACCCTAACCCTTAAAACGGTAGGTTTTGGGATCTGGCCCACCAACCGTAACAGGTCCTCTTCGGTCGGCACCTCCCGCCTTTCCCTTGGAGGCTTCCTCTTCCAGGACCGGGCCAGAGGTTTAGGGGGTTAGAGTGCAGGGTTTTAGGGTTTAGGGTTTTGGGTGTAGAGTGTAGGGATATGGGTTTAGGGTTTCAAGGATAGGGTTTTAGGGTTTAGGGTGTAGGATTTTGAGTTTTGGGCTTTAGGGTGTAGGGTTTTAGGTTTAGGGTGTAGGGTTGCTTTTGTTCACTTTGTCATAGCTGGCGAACATTTTACATGTTTAAGGGCACTTAAACCCAAGAAGGAACAGAGATTTGATATTTGTTGACACTATCCCAGCCATGGACTAGATCAATCGTGTTGGTTCGTGGCTGTCCACTTTTTTATAAGGCGATGGTGTTGGTGAATGGTTGTTCTTTAATGTTGCTAGTTGTTTATGTTCTAGTTAGGCTCCAAGGGTTCAGGTTTCAGGGTTTGGAGATTTGAAGTTTCAGTTTAAGGGCTAGGATGGCTCGGCGTGCAGCCGCTGTAATATAGGGGCCGAAATAATTGCCAACACTATTGGGGGGATCCTTATTATGCTTGAAGTATAATTGGCCCCAATCCCTATTCTAATAATAGTAACTCTTATTTTTACTATCATTATTAATAAGGCCCCTGTCTTAGTTTGCAGGTGAATCGATGGATGGCGTTGTGAGGAAGATCGAGGACTGCTCTCCTGCCTCAGGGTGTACTTAGAGCACTTCCTGAACCCTACCCTAAGCCACTAAAGCTCTAAACCCGAAACCCGGTAAACCACTAAACCCCTAAACCACTAAACCCCTAAACCCTAAACGGCTAAACCCGAAACCCCTAAACCACCAAACTCCTAAACCTCTATAAACCCTCAACCCTAAACGACTAAACCCGAAACCCCTAAACCACCGAACCACTAAGGCCCAAAGCCCTGCAGCCTAAACCCGGTGTTGCACAGGCTTGGGGCCGGGGCTCTAGCTTTTAAGGAACTGTGGTTTTGGCTGGTCTTAATTAAACCCTAAAACCTACACCTTAAACCCTAAAGTTCATAAAACAAGCTTAACTTAAGCTTGTTTTATGAACTTTAGGGTTTAGGGTTTAAGGTGTAGGGTTTAGGGTTTACTGAAGCGTTTTTATGAACGCTTCCTGCAGCCACACACCCTCAAACATAGCGGGGTACGATCCCATCAGTAGTTTGCAAGCAGCCTTAAACGTACCGGACCCTGACCCATCAGCAATCCCAGACCCTAAACCTCAGGCCTATCACTAAGCCCTGAGCCATGTAAGACACAAGCCCTAACCCCTGCTTGAAGGATCATGGGACGTAGCAGGCAAGGATAGCGCTATAAGTAACTGTATATGTACAGTTACCTTGTTTCTAACCCTAGTTACACAGCAACTCGTGGTGAGTTCAGAATGTCTCCAGTCGAAGGCAGGGGCGAAGAGGACTCTGCATTCTTGGCCTTGCAGCCTGGCGAAGAAGTTAGCTCTGGCAAATTGCTCTGGTGAGGGAACTCAAGAGAGCATCCATGCCCGTCTGTGCGACGGCGGGCTATGCTTTGGGCAGTCCGGCGGTTCTTGAAGCATCTGCTGGGGCTCTTCGGGCTTCTACCTTCAGGAGACATGTATGAGAGTGGTGCAAATTCTCTGCTTGGGTCTTTGCAGCGGAGGGAACTGCGTTTCCTTCATGTTAGGGTTTAGGGTTTAGAGTTTAGGGTTTAGGGTTTAGGGATTAGGGTTTGGAGTTTAGGGTTTAGGGTTATGACAGGAGCCCTGCGCTAGAACGAGGCTCCAGGCTGTACCTTCGGCGGTGATCCTTTCAGTAACCTAAACTCTCCCTGAGAGAACCCTTGTAGATCCCTTAAAGGAACCCTAGCCTGAGGGTCCTAACACTTTGGGGAGCCTCAACATGTAGGATTTCTGAGACCCCATTGGCTCTCCCTAGGAGATTCCGGACCCTGCTCGGCAGATACGTGGACCCTTCGGGTAGACGCTATAAAGCCCTGGACCCCAAAACTCTAAACATTAAAACCCTAAACCCCAAAGCTCTCAGCCCCCTTCTATAGAACCCTTATAGATCCCTCAAAGGAAATTTTTGAGGAACCCTAGTTTCTGGGAGCATCCCAATCCTCAGTAGCTGAGTGGATACACTTTACACTTTTTCGGGATAGCATTACCCACTATAAAACTGAAAGCTTACACTTTTCGGAGGCTTATGAACTCAGCAACTAAGCTCCAAATACTAAACCCTTATGCAAGGGGCCTGAATCAGTAGTAGTTTATACGATTTCTGAGGGTTTATACAGCTGTAGCTATGGTATAGATGCACCAGAATCCAAGTCTGATTCTTGACGTTCCTTACATTAAACTCTGTGCCTTGGCGATAGGTTGCGATTCGTGCGAACCTGGCCCGCAGATCTTAAGCCCTGGACCCCAAATCCTTAAACTACTGTTGATGGACAAAATCCTGCATGACCCATAATAAGGAATATACCATAATTCCCGTAGTTTAGAGTCCTTAGGGTCATGCAGGATTTTGTCCATCAACAGTAGGATGCCCAGTACTACCCTTTTTCACTTGTTTTGTAGTCCTATAGGTTCCTTATAAAGTTGCCCAAAACCAAAAAGGGAGCCCTTCTTATTCCTAGGCTACTGGGCATCCTCGTAAATTGCCTTCATCGAAACCCCGAGGATTCCTTTAAGCACCCTTCAAGGAGCCTGTATTGTAGAACCGCTTTTGGGGGCTGACTCGTTTTTCTTTCTGGAAACCCCTTAGAACGCTAACGGAACCTTCAGCAAGCCCTTATGGAACCGTTTCAGAAGTCTTAACGAACTCTCCCAAAAACCGTCGAAAACCGCTGAAGAACCCTCATAGAAACCAAGTTTCATCCAGGAGCAGGCTGCGATTGTCGATGTTGGCAAAGTCCTCCAGCAGGCCAGGCGATGACTGTAAGTGAAGTGAAGAATTCAGCCGAATGTTCGAAAGCCGGGAGAGGCAATCCGTTCCAAAATAAGCCCGAGCTCAGGCGATTGTGCCTCGACGATTCTGGCGACGCCAACTGAAGGCCACCGGAGTTTTCTCGAAAGTAAGTACCCGCTGATGGGGCGGTCTTCGAAGTTCCTGGTTGCAGCTCAAGGGAATTGGGTCATAGTTGGGTACCAGTTTACATTCTACTAGGTACTGAAACCCGATAAGGAATCCTATCCCAACCATGAACTAGGGAAGAGGGAGAAGAGGGCAGAAGAAGGCAGGGATGCTTCTGCCTAAGGGTCTAATTATTCGGTTCTTGTCTTTTACTATGCTATAGTATGCCCCCAAAACCGGTTCTAAAAATTGAGGCCCCGTATTACGCTGTCTTGTTTTGAGCGCTGTCGCCAGTATCTGCGAAGGGCTGGCTCGGGCCTACAAAGCTCCGAAGCTCTCAAACAAGGAGCATGCTTGAAAACCTCGTTCGGATCCCCAAGTGCAGTTTTTTCCATCAGCAAAGTGCATCAACACCTGTGAAGTCCATGTAGCTAGGGTGCATTCCTTAATACATGGGCCCTTTGTGTTGTCTAGGTGGCAGCAGGGCTTAAACTCTCGTCCAATTCGATTGTTGTTGCTTCGGGCAAGTACTTTGATGGACCTTTCTAGTCTAGTCTGAACCTCATGAGGGACCAGCTTGGTGCATGGCGAGGCCACAAATTCTGTAGATTTTGGCTCTATGCGAGGGCGTTTACAGGCTCGCCGTCCATAGAGTCTCAAAGAAGAGACAATGTGATTAGGGACCTTCCATAAGGCATTCCAAGAAGAGACAATGTGATTAGGGACCTTCCATAAGGCATTCCAAGCCAGAGACGACTGCATAAACCTGGACCTTATGCACACGGATTAACCGTCAACCCAGGCCCAGAAAGCGCCTTTGCGATAGCACACGGAGATATGGGAGGGTCCTCAAATTCCAACTTGTATAGATCCTCTTGAAAAATGAAAAATGGACTCCTGTGCTGGAGAAGCCCTATACCCAGAGAGCCCACCGCGCCTTCGTCAAGGAACATAGCTGAAATTATAGAGGCCTGACTGTTGTTACGTAAAGTACTAATTTTGGCGTATTCCGATCTTGAGGGGAACATGAACCCATCTAAACAACCAAACATTATAAGACAAACCGAAACCTTAAGCCCTCACTAGATTCCTTACTTACGCTGGTAATGAAGGAGCGTAAATAGTTAGCAATGATTCTCTTAGTGTTCCCTGTTATCCTAATACGATAAAGGATCCCAAAACCGTATTCCAGGCATTAAGGCCCCTGTGGTACTAATATAGAGTCCCGTTTAGGGTTCCTTTCAAGGGGTCTTTCAGGGTTTCTATACGGTTCTATAATAGTTCTATATGAGTGGTTGTCAAAATTATGCTCCCTTTTTGGGGTACCCTAAATCATAGGTGCCGTACTATAATAGGGACCCAAAAAGGGGCCATAATTTTGACAACCACCCATATGGGCTCTCGGGGATATTGGAACCCCTGCCTTTTCATGGAAGGTCGGTGACCAACTCTCTCTTCGAGTGCTTGGCGCTTCAACTGAAGGTGTTAGGAATTACCTTAACACTGAAGGACTTACTTTTTTAAGGATTTATGTAAGGGAATCATAATAAGGAACCCTAAAAAGGTAGGTTATTCAGGGTTAAGGTATGGTTGAAGGGTAAGTTTCGGGCTTAGGGGTTTTAGGGTTTAGGATTGAGGAGAGTTTAGGGTTAAGGGTTTAGGGCCGAGGCTTCACCAGAACCCCCCGTGCCAGGGCCGTTGAATGGAGCCCTTGTGGTCTTGAATAGTAGGTATTTCAGGTATATTAGGGGGTGGTTGGGGGGTCTAGGGAGGGTTTGATGTTTAGGGCGTCGAAGCTCTTGCAGGATGCACACCTCTTTCTGGGTATCTTGGCGCACTCTCCTCGATTCTGGCGGTTGAACCAGAAAAGACAATTTACTTTGAACCAGACGTGGGGCTGAATTCTGCAACTCCGTCAGCCTCTGGCCGACCGCCCTCAGATGATATGGATGATATCTCAAAGAAAGGAAACGGGGGCTGTTCTTCGTCTCAAGAAGACCGACGCCCCACCAATGTTCGGTCCAAAAATCTCAACTTTCACTTGTCCTTAGACTTTCAGGACAGGAGGTTGCTGGAGTCCCCATCAGAACGCAAACGTGAATCATGGCCGCAGAGTTCCACCAAGATACTGCGACGTGGAAATAGAGAACGAAAGCTACTCGGAGTCTTGGTGCATCGATTGCATTGCCTCCTTCAAAGCCTCTCTGGAGATGCCGGTTGGCCCTGACAGAATAGTCGTCGTGTCTTGGATTGCAGGACAACTCTACGCGATGGGAGTCCAGCCAATCTTGATTGAAAAGCTTTGCTCCTTCTTCCAGGTCTGCAAGCGAATGAAGTTGCTGAATGAAGAGGGAAGGTTGAAAACCTTCATATCGGGTTTAGGGTTTTAGTTTCAGCATCTTTTCTCCAATTGCTATGTACCATTGAAGTCCTCACTTTCGTTGCCAGGGCCGAGGCGTCGGAAGACGGTTTTTCGTAAAGGGTCCCTGGAGACTTGTAAATCATAGTGCATACCTTGATGGTATGAACTTTAGGGTCTGCAGCTTTAGGGCTCTAGGTCTAAGGGGCTTAGGGCTTGAATCCTCAACAACCTTAAAACCCTCAAAACTCGGATTTCCGAAGCTTGGGGTACAGAAAACAGTAAACCCCTAATACCCCTAAACCCCTAAACCCTAAACCTGAAACCCTGAACCCTAAACCCTGCAATCCGAAACAGTCTCAAAGCTCAGATTCCTTAGAAGAGGCCGCACCCTCCTCAGGAGATACCTTGGGTTTCAGGGTCTACTTAGGGTTTTTGGGTTTGGGGTGTGGGGTGTCGGGTTTAGGGTTTAAGGGGGGGTTTAGGGAACCCTAGAGAACCTACATCTTTTGGGAGGGCTCCGTACGATAAGTGCCACATAGAAGTCCTCAAGCAGGTAGGTCATGCAGTGTCCAAGCACTAGGACCTAGAGTAGGCCCTTATTCCCTTTTTGTAGGGTTCAGGTTCCCTTATAAGCCCCTTTAAACCAAAAAGGGCACCCTTTTTATTCCTAGGTTACTCTTGGGTTTAGAGCAATGTTTGGAGCCCTAAACCAAGAGCCTGAAGCCCATAACCCTGAACTACCTCTGGCTCTGCTTAACCCTGTTCGGAACAGTTGATGATATAAATCCTGCATTACCTTATAAGGACCCTAAACTATGGGAATTATGGTATATTCCTTATTATGGGTAATGCAGGATTTGTATCATCAACAGAAGTACAGCATGATCTCTGTTTGGTAGAGTCTGGAGCCTTTGATGTCAAAGGTTGCTGAAGGAGTTTGAACAACTAGCCAAGTTCTTCTTCATGGTTAGTCTTACATTTCGGTATACCCCTTAAGCACTTTACCCTGCGCTATAACCCCCGAACCCTATTCCTAGGATCCCCAGTAGTACCCTTATTCCTTTTTTGTAGTCCTAGGTTCCTTATAAAGGTACCCAATACCAAAAAGAGAGGCCTTTTTATTCTTAGGTTACTGGGTGTCCTAGATTCCGAATGAGTCAAGCGCCGTTTGAGATTGCTTGTGCTCTTCTGGGTTCTGGAGTACCAGTTTAGAGTTTAGGGTTTAGGGTTTAGGGTTTGGGGTTTAGGGTTTAGGATTTAGGGTTTAGGGTTTAGGATTTAGGGTTTAGGGTTTAGGGTGACCTGCATGTTCCTTGAAGGAGCACTTCTGAAGGACACGTTTACCTTGCTTCTTCTACCTTGTTACTTCACAGGTCGAGTCTTCGGGGTCTCCGATATCCCAGCTCTTTAGCATCTGTTGAGATCCTTCTGGTATTCGTAGGGTTTAGGCTTTAGGGCTTGAGGGTTCAATGCGGTTGTCAATTTTGAGAACTTTATTGATTGAGGTTTGGGTCTAGTTTAGTATTTATTGTTTTCTTGAGCTCTTGAAAGTATGCTCCTTTGACATGCATCCGTCCGCGGCTCAAGGACTCCATGGTCGAGACGTGACCCTCCGCGAAGTGCACCCGGAGGCTCCGTTGAGGGAGTTGACTCGCCTGAACCCGAACCTTAGTGTCTAAACCCTAAACTAAACCCTAACCTAACCTTAAACTGTACAACCCTGAATGTAAATTGCATGTATACTTGCATTGCCAGGAAAGCTCCAGGCTTGGTTGTGATGCTGAGAGAGTTATCCTAAGCCCTGCATCGCAGACCCGAAATTCCAAACCCAAGTTCATAAAGCGAAACCCAAGGCCATTGCAGAACCCAACAAGGTTCTCCCCAGGATTCCAGACTCGTTCGAGGAAGTTCCTACCACTCTCTTGCCATGCTGTCACCTTGAATCCCAAGCCCTAAGCCTAAACCCTAAACCCTGAACCCTCAACCAAACAAGAAAGCCTTGCCAGGACCGGGCCGTGGGGTTTAGGATGCAGTCTTTAGGGGTTAGGGTCTGGAGTTTAGGGTTCAGGGGTTTGGGGTTTAGGGTTAGTCCATGGGAGCAGTATAAAACCTCACCGCTCTACTTACGAAGTCGCTGAGACCTAAAAACCCTTAACCAAACTGATCTGCTCCAGGTATTTCCGGTAGTTCTGTTGATTAAACTAAGGTTGTTGATTGAGGTGGTTTAGTTAGCAGATGCGATTTCCATTTTTAACCATGCCCACCGCCCCAGGCCACCTGAAGACCAACCATAACCACCTGTACCCCACCCATGGAACCATCGAATGACCCACAGGAAGACCCTTACTAAGACCCACCTGAAGACACTATCATGGAACCACCCATACCCCCATAGAAAATAGCATGCTCAAACTCATAGACCAACACTCCCATAGAAAACCCACAACACCCAACCCGAAATCCCTCAATGTAGTGGTATTCTCGAAAAAGCACTTCCATAATAGGAATAAGCTGTAGGGATAAGGTAACATCACAGTCTAGTTATAATCTATAACAACTCAAGGGTTGTAACTACATTATACTTATGACTTGTCAAATACCAACAGGGATCTCAATAACTATGCTGTCCTCATGCTCGCCCAAAAGTGTAAAACAGTCATTCTGGAAACTCATCATTCATCAGCTAGGTGGCAACTTGGGAAACTTTTTAATTTCCCGTATGGTTCCTATAGAGGTACCTATTCATAAATACTTGTCAGAGCCCCAAAATTACAACCCAGTCAGTAACTGTTGAATGTGAATTCATCCTGAGCCCGCAATCTGCCAGGAGGATGATCCTTTGCACTGTCAGGCGCCACAGGGTCCGGCTTGGCTTCCCGGATAATGGTGGAGTTTCCGACATTAGGGTACCCTAACATATATATATATAGTACCCTAAATAGTAGGATCCTTATTATAAGGACCCCAAAAGAAGGAATGATGTAGGGGTTTGGGGTTCAGGGTACCCTAACATAGTACCCTAAATAGTAGGATCCTTATTATAAGGACCCCACAAGAAGGAATGATGTGAGGCTTTGGGGTTCAGGGTGTAGGTTTGAGGGGCTTCAGACTGCAAAGGGCTCAAAGATGCTTAGTGCTTCGGTTTTGTAGGAATTGAAGGTTGAAGGGTTGTCTTCGTGGGCTTACCACGACTCAAGTACCGCTTGAGGGGTATGCCATTCCCGCTTGGGAGAAGTACCTTGGGGCCGACAACAAAGGGCAGTGGTGGGGATCTATGTCGAGGTGGGGTTCAGGCTTGAAAAGTTGGGTTGAGGGTTTGGAAAGCTTACGCCCGCGCAAACCCTAAAGCCTGAACCCTATGACCGTAGTTTATGCAAGTACCTTATATCCATATACTTTCCCAAATAGCAACACATAACTACTGCGTGAAACCTATAAGTACCTAAATATTGGGTCTTTTGGACCCTTAGGGTAACTCCAAGGAGGCTTCAGCGTAACAGTACTGCGATTAGGATGCTCACAGCATGAAAGTACCCAAGCCGTCAATCCTACCCTGAGGGTCCTAGCACGTTGGGGAACCCCATAATGTAGGGTTTCTGAAGCCCCAAAGAAACCAAGGGTTCTTCCTAAGACATTCCGGACCGCCCTGATCTGATATCTGGACCCACAGCCGAGACCCTGAGCCCGAAACCCCTAAACCCTCAAACCTAAACCCCGAACCCGAAACATTGTTGGGTGTTGGATGTCGGGTCGTCTCGGTGATTGGAATATTATCCCTACAAAAATACTTTGCGAAGACTACATGCATCCCTGTGCCTATGTAGTATTGTCCGGTATGTCTCCATAAGCGTATGAGCCATAAGGAACCCCTCCTAATTTATACAAACCCTAAACTCGATACTCCCTGAATGGAAATCCCTCCAGAATGCCCAAGACCCCTTTATTAAGGAATACAGCTTGAATCATAACATGAACCCCCTTATTCTTTAAGGTATATTCCTCCAGGATCTGCTGGGCCTCGGCGAGATCTGGACGGTTAGTCGTCGCAGCAAAGACGACGCAGTGCCAGCGCCCGGGTGGCCCCCGTGGGAGGCACTTGCGGGCTGCTGGCAGACCCTCGGGTTGAGAGCCTAGGGATTTTACCGTAGAAGGGGGTCCTTATAATAAGGATCCTACTATTTAAGGGTATTAATATAGGGTCCCCCATTTTTGGAAACTCCCATCTAAGGACTAGGTGGCAATTTGGGAAACTTTTTTAATTTCCCTCATGGTTCCTATAGAGGTACCTATTCATAAATATTTTTCAGAGCTCCAAAACTACAACCCAGCCAGGGATTTTACAGTAGAAGCCAGACAGTTGGAACATCATTATCCTCAGGTCCTTCAGGTAAAGCATAAGGGATCCGAGCACGATTCATCCTAAATCCATGTTCCAATTTTCTGGGATTCACTGTAGTGTACGTTGAACCTTCGGGCTTGGCATCTTCGAGCTTGCTTTTGCTTAGCTTTTGTCAATGCCACCTGAGACGATTTGCGGGTTATGCTTGTTTCAGGCTGCGTTTTCCAAGTTTGCCCGGGATTTTCTCCTCTCCACCGCCGCTAAGGTCTAGCGTTGTTCGTGTTGGATGTGGTGCGGCAGGTGACGTTCTTAAGTCTGTACGCTTCCCCCACTTGGAGGGTCGGGGGACTTTCAAAGCAGCTATCTTGTGGAGTTCTAAGTACCGTAACCCAATTCGGATCCTTTTTAGGGTACTTATAGCTCTGCTTATTGCCTACTTACTAAGTTCCCCGACCCTCCAAGTACAGGAGAGAGGCAGCACCTCCAAGAAGGTCGGTTCCTGTCTACATACTTCTACAGTGTCTACAGTTTACATAGGCACGTGTATGTACATAGACATACACAGACATACATGGAAACATCCATACATACATGCATACATACATATATGCATATACAGACATAGTTGTAGGTGGAAGGGTTTGCTTGCACTTATAGTTCTTGGGGACCACAGAATCCGTAAAGGTAAGAGCCATATAAACCCAAGTGCCATGAACTCCCACATTAATCTGAACTATAAACACTCATACGTTCAAAGTTCGTCCTCAAGGGTTTTTCAACAAACCTAAACTCTGCAGTAAAATTTCTTATAGAACCTTTAGAGGTGCCCTTAAAGGGATCCTAAATGGAGCCCTTTTGGGGCTACATTTCGTTCTAAGGCCTTGAGTTCCGTCTCTGCAGTTGTGTCCCTTTTGGTATCCATGAGTGCCCAACCATGGCTGAGCGCTGGTGCTGGGTTTAGTGTTTAGGATTTGGTGTGTTTTTTCTGGCTAAGACAAAGAGCCGGTGCTGGCCGGCACACGTCATCCTGCACACAGCGTTCCCAGAATCCTCAGCGCGGGGCCTGGATCCTCTGCCAACGATGCGGTGGGTGTGGGCTAAGCCTCACCCATCTCAGGTCCACTCGTTCCTGTCCGGTTTTGCAGACTGGCCTGGTTACAGTCCTTTTTTGCCGGCATGCGGCTGCGGTTTAGGGTTTAGGGTTTAAAGTTTAGGGTCTATAGGGTTTAGGGTTCAGGGCAACCACCATATCCAGAACACCCAGACCAAAGACGACTGCTGGCCTCCTGGCCGGTGCCTCCTGACTCAGAGATCTCAATACCCCTTATAATAAGGATTATACCTTAAATTACACGGGGGCTCCTAATATTATGGTTTAAGGTATATTCCGTAATTAAGGGGTATTGGGATCTCTGGGGATGTGCTTTGCACATCTTCCCGGCTAGCGTTTCGTACTGCGCACCATGTTTGTCATAGACGATCGACGCGGACGTTTTCCTTGGGAGCTTTTGCAGCAGACGGGCCCAGCGCCATGCGCGAAAGGGTTGGGGCTTGCACATCCTGATCCTGAAAGCTCCGCACATGTTGGGATCCTGATTTTTTGAGGGTACGTTACTAAGTTTGGGGCTTTCAGGTAAACCTTGCATATTGAACCCGGAATCCTATGCTAGTTTCTACAACGAGCTCGTCCAAACTTTACGCGTTAAACTGTTTAACCTCCAATCCCAACATCCTCTGTTCCATAGGCAGATTCCCTTAGCCTGAACCCTAAACCGTTTTCGGTCTGTGCTGGCATCCAAAGGCAGAGGCCCAACGAGCACCGCCGACACCTTGGTACCAGGCACCCCTTGGGGTTCGGGGTTTAGGGGTTAAGGGTTCCTTGAAGAGTTCTATTTGGAGTTAAGGGTTCAAGGGTTGCCGGTCTAAGTGTGAGGGTTAAGCGTATAGGGATCTAGGTCTTAGGGGGCCGGGGTGAAGGGTTTCTGAGAGTTTTTAGGGTTTACCGTCCCAGGTTTCTTGTTCGTGGGTTTAGGGCATAGGGTCAGGGTCTGCCTGGATTCCACGACCACATGCTCGTGTGGAACCCAAGGTATCCACTCAGAATGATTTTTGACAACTCTCCTCGAGAGAGTTAGCTGGCTGCTATTAGTCCGTGCATGGAGTTCTTGGTCACGGCAGATAGATAGAATGTCGTAACCCCCAATTCCTTTCGCAAAGGGTCCTACATAGGTACCTATATATAGGGGAGACTTACCCAAGCCATAACAGTAATTGTTGCTAAACCATAAACTA